GAGCCACCCGCTCTGTGATGCCTGTCCAGGTCTACAAAAGGCTCAGCCCTCCAGGGCTCCACAGAGGCCCTTGGGCAGGATTTCCCCAGATTCTGACCACTGCCTCTCTGTAAACACTCATTTGTTCATTCATTCACTCAACAGTTTTGGGGGTTTTTTTCCCCTGCACCTCCTCCATGCCTGGCACTAGGAATATGAATAAGACATAGTGCTTACCTTCAAGAGGACTGTCTGGGAAGAAGACAGCCATGCCAAAAGGAGTGGGACCCAGGGCCACCAGTGCTGTGTCAGATGGGTGCACAGAGAAGGGGTTCCACCAACCTGGGCATGTTGGGGGGAGAGAGGATTGCTGGGCAGAATGGACCTCCTGTAAGTGGTCCTTGAGCTGAGTCCCCAAAAATGAGAAGGCATTAACCAGACAGTGGGAGGGAGAAGGGGTCCTCTAGGGTGAGTGTTCAGCGTGAACACAAGGACATGGAGTGCGGGAGTGCATAGAGCTCTTTGAGAAGATGAGCAGACAGGGAGTGAGCCAGAGGACAACAGAAGCAGGGACTCAAACTCACCAGACCAGAAGGGTCTGAAGAGTGAGGACTTTGTCCTGAGAGCCTTAGGAAATTAAGGTGAGCCTCCGGGTAGCAGAGGCTGAGAATACAGAAACCCAGAAATCTCAAGATGAAGGCAGACCCAGGCAAGGACACAGCAGTGAGCCCACCCACCCCACCACCTCCTGCAGAAAGCCTTGATGGGTATTCTGAGTTACTGGTTTTGGGTCGCCATCTGCTGGCAAGATTTCTTCAATGCAGCTGGTTCTATCAATGTTCAAAGAGGGAATGAGTATCTTTTAAAAACAATAACAGGCACAGGGAACTTCCTTGACCAAATTAGTGTAACACTTATTATAAAAAGAACATTGTTTCATTCAAAATTCAAAGAAAAGAACATCATATGAGAGCCATGGGTTCAAATCCCAGCTCTGCCACTTATTATGTGGGAAATCACTTTACTTCTCTTAGCTTTGTTTTTAACATCCATAAAGTAAAGATAATATCTAACTCACCATTGTTGACAGGAATAAAAGATACCAAGTATGTAAAGAGAAATCCAATAGGTATTACGTTAGGGTGGTGGAAAACCAGCATGTGATGTATGACCACCTCCTCCACTTGCTAATGCTTTTCATCCTCCTCAACCTCTACCTCTTCCTCCTCCCATCTCCTTAAACTCTTACTCCTCCACCTCCACCCCCACCTCATCATCACCATCCTCTACTTCCACCTTCTCCTCTCCACCTCTTCCACCTCCTCCTCATACATAATATATGATTCTATGTATAGAAAATTGAAGCACAGCCAAAACCGGTTTGGCTCAGTGGATAGAGTGTCAGCCTGCAGACTGAAGGGTCCCGGGTTCAATTCAGGTCAAGGGCATGCACCTTGGTTGCGGGCACATCCCCAGTAGGGGATGTGCAGGAGGCAGCTGATTGATGTTTCTCTCTCATTGATGTTTCTAGCTCTCTTTCTCCCTTCCTCTCTGTAAAAAATCAATAATTATATATATATATATATATATATATATATATATATATATATATGTGTATGTGTGTGTGTGTGTGTGTGTGTGTGTGTGTGTGTGTTTTAATTGAAGAACAGAGAAAACCACTCTGTGGTAACAGAAATGAGAACAGTGGCTACCTTTGGGGTGGGTACTGGCAGAAAAATAAAGGACAAAGGCTGCTGGGAAGCCGAATAGGTGTGTGCACTTGGTAACAATTTGTGGAGCTATTCACTTAATTTTGACTGGCATAAACCAAGAGAAATAAGTGCCAAAACATTTCACAAGAATGTGCATGGTGGCTTTATTCATAATAGTTCCAAATTAGAAACAATCCAAATGTCCTTCAATTAAAAAAAAAAAACACAGATAAACTAAGGTATGCTCACACAATGAAAAACTACACAGCAACAAGAAACATCATATCTATCTACATTATGGATTCATGGTTGAATCTCACAGACATTATGTTAAGTGAAAAAAGGCAGACACAAAAGAGTTCATCATATATACAGTCCGGCCCAGCATAACAATATTTTGGTCAATGAGAGAACACACATATGAATATGTTCATATATATATATATATATATATATATATATATATATATATATATATATATGCCTAAGCAACCAATCACCCGTTTGACCATTCAACCAGTAGCTATGACACACACTGACCACCAGGGGGCAGACGCTCAATGCAGGAGAGGAAATCAGAGGCATGGAAACATGGAACAGACTGATGAATCTCAGAGGGTATAGAGAGGGGGGATGGAGGAGAAATTAACCAAAGATTCTATATGCATACTCGAGGCCCAGTGCATGGATTCATGTACCAGTGGGTTCCCTCAGCCAGGCCTGTGGGAATCAGGCCGAAACTGGAATCCAACATCCCCCGAGGATTCCCAGATTGCGAGAGGGTGCAGGCCAGGATGACAGACCCCACCAGTGCACAAATCCGAGCACCAAGTCTCTAGTAAGATTATAAAGGAATTAAAAATTTCCTATCATGTAATGATGTCATAGCTGTTGCAATGTCATTGGAAAACACATTATTCCTATGTTTGTGGAAATGCTGGTATAAACAAATCTACTGTACTGCCAGTCACATAAAATTATAGCAAATAAAATTACAACCCTGGTTGGTGTGTCTTCCCATGTACCAAAAGGTCACAGGTTCAATTCCCGGGAAGAGCTCAGTCCCTAATAGGGGGCATGCTTGAGGCAGCTAATGAATGTTTCTCTCTCACATGCATATTTCTCTCTCTCCCTTTCCTTTTCTCTCCCTCTAAAAATCAATAAACTATCCTTTTTAAAAAGTATATATGTGCTGTCTATTATAGAAATACAGCATATATATAAAAGTATAGCACATAAAATTATGAACAATATGTAGTATTTGGTAATTACAATAAATTACTACATTACTGGTTTATGTATTTATCATACTATACTTTTTAAAAAAATATATTTTATTGATTATTTACAGAGAGGAAGGGAGAGAGATAGAGAGCTAGAAATGTCGATGAGAGAGAAACATGGACCAGCTGTCTCCTGCACACCCCCTACTGGGGATGTGCCCGCAACCAACGTACATGCCCTTGACTGGAATTGAACCCAGGACCTTTCAGTCCGCAGACCGACGCTCTACCGCTGAGCCAAACCGGTTTCAGCCATACTATACTTTTTATCATTGTTTTAGAGTGTGCTCCTTCTAACTATGTAAGAAAAAAATGTGCCCTAACTGGTTTGGCTCAGTGAATAGAGCATCGGCCTACGGATTGAAAGGTCCGGGGTTTGATTCCAGTCAAGGGCATGTACCTTGGTTGTGGGCACATCCCTGGTGTGCAGAAGGCAGCTGATCAATGTTTCTCTCATCGATGCTTCTAACTCTCTATCCCTCTCCCTTCCTCTCTGTAAAAAATCAATAAAATCTATTTTTTTTAAAAAATGCTTGCTGTAAATATTAATAGTATGCAGTGTTTCACCAGGAGCAGCATCATACAACTTTACCAACTCTCTTGATTATATCAAGACAATAGAGAGGATAGTTCATTCATCTCTACTCATTTTTCTTTTTATTGAATTTATTGGGGTGACACTGGTTAACAAAATTATATGGATGTCAAGTGCACAATTCTATAACACAGCATCTGTACACTGTGTTCACCATCCTAAGTCAAGTCTAATCCATCAATATTTATTCCCTCTATATTTCCTGATAACTATGCAAGGTTTTGTACACAGGAGAATGTTTGACTGGTAAGGCTGAGCAGAGAACAAAAGCATTACTGCCAGAAATACCAGGCTAGAACTATTTTCTTAGGCCCACAGAATAATTTAAAATATTGCCATGGGACCAGGGAATTTTATGCTGGCATGAATTCACAGATTTTCAGCCAAAAAATTTTTCAGGATTTAGTGTTGATAATGTCATTTCACATGGGTTCCCAGGTGTTAGGCTGTGGATTATCTCTCTCTATAGTGAACTGCTTCTGTCCATGCAACGGAAACCCAGGTCTCCAGCTGCAGAACAGTGATGAAAGGAATTGGTGATGTTGATAAGATACCACTCTGTATTGGTTTCGCACTTATTGGTTAACAGCGGAATACATTAACAAATTTATCAGTCCCACTTGCCTAACAAATGTGTTAAAAACCAGAACTGTGGTTCCAAGGTCTACAAAATAAATAGGGCAAGTACTGTTGGCTCTAATATTTTCCTTCTTAGAAGAAACCAGAGTTCAAAGAAGCTACAGAATTAAGAGGTGCGCTTTTCACGTGTAATTCAGTTCAACAAACATTTAGTATTAAAATTCCTTTAAATTCCTTCTTGATACAGTGAGTCCTTTCTAGCAGAGGGAGTGTGAGCCCAAACACTGAAATTTCCCCAATTGGGGTTATCCATGGGGCTGGAGAGTTGGGGAAATCTCAGGTGATTCTAAGGTATTCCTCCCTATGCCAACTTTTCTTCAGACTAGCTAAGAAGATCCAAAGAAGAGTATTGTAAAATAAAGAAAATACTGGATAATATTGAATGTAAACAGCTAATAACCCACTGGATTCAGAGGTTTTGCCCTCAACCTAACCCCCCATTTATTTGAGGCTTCTCATCAGTCAGTAGCAATTACCCAGGCTCCATAGTCCACTGTACTGACCAAGCCTGGCTCACATTAGAATGGAGGAAGTGGGAACTCTCACAGGAGGCCAAAACATTTCGGAAACTAGACAACATCCGATACATATGTGGCTTTCACCAGCGTGTTCAGACCCACCCGTTGCACATCTCTCCTCAGATACCTCTCCCTGGGGTTGCTTGGCTGGTCGGAGCAAGCCTGCCATTACGTGGGGAAGACATTTGGAGGAATTCTGAACTTACTCTCAAAGGATTAAAGGGGGAAAGATTTAAAAAGAGAGAAAGACCTTTTCCAACTTGAGCCCAGTACAATGGCTCCTGCAAAGAAGGGTGGTGAGAAGAAGAAGGGCCGTTCTGCCATCAACGAGGTAGTGACCAGAGGATACACCATCGACGTACACAAGCACATTCATGAAGCGGGTTTCAAGAGGCGTGGCCCCTCGGGCACTCAGAGAGATGCAGAGATTTGCCAGGAAGGACATGGGAGCTCCAGAAGTGCGCACAGACACCAGGTTGAACAAAACTGTCTGGGCCAAAGGAATAGAAATGTCCATAGTGTCTCTGGGTGCTGTTGTCCAGAAAACATAATGAGGATGAAGATTCACTAAACAAGCTCTATGTGTTGGTCACCTATGTACCTTTTACCACTTCCAAAAATCGACTGTTAATGTGGATCAGAACAGCTGATTATCAAATAAAGTTACAAAACTGCATAAAAGAGTCCTGACCAGAGTGTGACTCAGTTGGTTGGAATGTGTAGGAGGCAGCCCATCAATGATTCCCTCTCGTCATTAATGTTTTTATCTCCCTCTTCCTCTCCTTTCCTCTCTGAAATCAGTAAAAATATACCTTAACAATGTTTTAAGTAAAGGTGAGTTCTACCAAACTTTCAAGGAAAAGATATTTTAAAATTCCCCACTTTTATTCTTTGAAATTATTGTAATTGATATCAAAAGCATAGGTAGATAAGATAATCAAGGACCTATCACACTCACTCACATACATAAAAAAAAATCATAAACTAAATATTGGCAACCTGAACCTAGTAAATTATGAAAAAGATAATTATTCATTACCAAATTGAGTTTATCCTAGGAATTCAAAATATCTATGTATATAAAACCCTAATATGCAAATAGACCAAATGGCAGAACAACTAAACAACCGAACAACTTGTCACTGACGTGTGCTGACCTCCGGGGTGGGGGCGGGGGGGGGGGGGGGGAGAGGAGGTGTGCAGAACATGGCGGGAACCTGCAGCAGGCAGCAGAGTGCAGCACATGGTGAGCATCGACCACGGCAGGATGGTGGAGCAGGTGAGTTGGGGCACCAGACCAAGACGAGGCGCCAGTAGCTATCATCAGGGCAAACCTCTGGTGTTTATTGAAAATTCTTTGCTCCTGTGCACCACAGTCCCCCTGGGTGCTCATACCTGCTGTCGCTCTCACATCAATGTTTCTCTCTGCGTGTCTCTCCCCCTCCTTTCCACTCGCTAAAAATCAATGTGAAAATATCCTCGAGGGAGGATTAACATTAATAATAATAATAACAATAAGGATTTCCCTACTGTTACCACTTCTCAACAACATTAGTTCGAGAACCTAATCAGCATAAGAAAACGAAATAAGAGCTATAATGATTGGAAAGAAAAAATAATAATTTTCTCAAATGAAGTGATTGTGTACATAGAAACCTCAAAGTGACAATAAGTAGAATAATTCTCAGAATAACTGAAAGTTTAGCAAATGAATGATCAAGAAAACAAAATGGTATTTATCCTCAAAGGGTAGAGAGAGGATTCAGTGGGAAAAGGACACAGGTAGCTTTTGAAAGCTCTGGTAATGTCCAATTTTTTATGATGGATGGTGGAGAAAAGATCATTTATTATTTCATGTGATTTTGTTCGTATGAAATATTACATAATAAATATTCAAAAGCAAATAAAATTAATTTTTAAAATAAAGGCAAGTAAAATTAATGTATTTCCTATTTCTGGAATTTCTAAAGTATAAAACATATGGCCACCTCTGTTGGGGGTGTCATAGAGATAACTTTCTCTGACTAAAAATATCACAACTTGCTATTGAATATCATCCATCATTTTCAAAAGTCCTCTAACAACCATTATATTGCCAGATTGTTGCCACGTGGCAGTATAAACTTGGAGTTGCCAAGTATTCAGATATGGGTCAAAGAGCTGGAAATAAAAACATTTTAATGAATGAAACTATTTTGAGACACTATATGCATCAACACTATGAAGGCCACACAAAGGACATCTAGCTGTATAGGCTGCCAGGTTATGACCTCTGTTCTAGACTCAGAGTTCTATAGAAGCAGCCTTCGACCCTGAGTGTGTAGGTCATTCCCTTTTAGAAGAGGCCAATACACCCCACTACTCCCCATTCTCACATCCTGCTGGCTTCATTCTCCTGCATTTCTTTTTTTTTTTTTTTAATATATTTTATTGATTTTTTACAGAGAGGAGAAACATCGATGAGAGAGAAACATCAACCAGCCGCCTCCTGCACCTCCCCCACCCGGGGATGTGCCCGCAGCCAACGTACATGCCCTTGACCGGAATCGAACCCGGGACCTTTCAATACGCAGACCTACGCTCTACCTCTGAGCCAAACCGGTTTGGGCTCTTCTGCATTTCTTATTGGGGCCAGCAGGTGGCTGAGTTTGTGAGCCCCTCTGACAGAATCTGACACTGAGGAGAATCTGATTGTATTTCTCTTGATTGACCATCAGAGGGCAGGCATGGAAAAGAAGAGGAGAAAACCACGGCTTCTGCTACCACGGGTGCTTTCCAGGAAAGGAATCCGGGGATTAACCATGAAAATCATTTTACTTGTTTATCTGAATTTAGAACTATTCTTCGAGCATAATGTCTGAGGATGGCAATGCTCGTATCGTGCGAGAGCTGATCAAAATTCATCATGCTCTGTCAACTGTGATTGCCTTGTTCTGGTTAAAGAAAGGACATTCTAACCTGGCTAGGAGTTCCACCCTCCCTGCGACATTCTAACCTGGCTGAGAGTCAACCTTTGAATGCAGTCCATGTTCATTCAAGAATTGCCTATTATCATGGAAAGATTTACAACCTTGTTGCCAAAACAATAGAGTCCTACCCCAGCTTGTGTAGCCTCCTTCCCTATGCCTGTAATCCCCCCTTCCCCATGTAATTTTTGTCTTACCCTATATATAAGCAGCTGGTTTATGGGGGGGGGGGGGGCTGCAGAGTAGATCTTTGTGGATGACCTGCTGCTCTCCCATATTGCTAGTTGTGTTGGAATAAACGCTCATATATGATTCAACCCTGTCTCTGCTGAATTGGCTCACTAGTGGCAGGCAGCACAGACCCATTGGTTGTCTGTTTCACACTGACATGACATGACAAATATACCTTCATAACTACCTGTCTAGCCAGGTTTAAATTTAGAATCCTATGCCTAATAAGGCCAGATAGAAGAAGTCATCCCTGGCCCTCTATTCCTGGCCACCCCTTCCCTTCTCACACCCACACACATAAGCCCTCACCCATGCTTCCAAGCTCCGTCACATCCCATGCAAACAACTGCCCCTTGGCCATCCCTTGGGCCCAGGTTGGAGCACATTGATAGTGTTGTCTTGTCACCGGAAAGGGGACCCGGCCTGGAATGGGGCTGCCTCTGGCCAGCCTGCAGTGTGTGGTTCTTGATTTGGTGTTGGAAAGATTTCACAAGTTGAGTCCAGGAAATTTGGAGAGTATATTTATTAAAGCTGGGGACAGTGAAACAAGGAAGGGCTTAGGATAGAAGAAGCAATGGGAGAGAGACTAGATGAAGAAGTCCAAGAAAAGTTCAGGGGGGTAGCCCTAGACAAGCTGCATCTGCCCATGGCTCCCCTGTTGCAAGTCTCATGGGTTTCCTTAGAGTTTGGGAGATGCACACCTGAGAGTGAAGAAGAGAAGGAAGGGAAACGCACGGGAATGCTCCTTCATTTTGAGGGTTTTTAAAGGCTGGGAGTTTAGGGAAGGTTTTAGGGGAAGATCTCAATAGAATATTCATCAGCTTTATGCTGATGACCTAAAATGAGATTTATTCCCATAACTTCATCCATCCCTGGGAGTGGCTGTGTGGTAGGCAGTGAGACAGACATGGGCAGAGAAGGATGATCGGCCAAGTACGAAAGGTCACCAGGGCAGAAAGCCCCGGGTGCCTAGCATGGGCAAAACTGAAAACACAAGCAGCTCCCCCCCAAGATAATCATTCCTTCCCTAGCATATCGCTGGTCACGCGGTTAGGTCTCTCCCCTGACCTTTCCTCCTGGCATGTCGCCAGTCATGTGGTAGACCTCCTTGGAGGAGGAGCAAGGGGCTGACGAGTAGCTTCATTCGACTCCATACAGACCCTTGCACAACACTCCCTTAAGCATTAACTCCTCGGCATGGGAATAACATCTAGGCCTCGGGTGTGTTCCAGCTCTGGGTCCAGAGGAGCAGTAAAGCCAGACAAGCAATGCCATGGCTGACATCAGAACCAGCTGCATTGACGACAGACCCCTTGCCCTGGTACCAACCAATCAGTGGAGACTACAATCCTGAAGGGACACACCTGAATAGCTGGTGATTTTTTTTTTTTTAGGTCCTCCCCTAAGACAGTTCCTAGACCCCCAAATCTTTACAAGACCTTAGGACAGAGGCTCCAGCCGCTCTCCTGCTGCGAGCTCTCCTGCCCTTCCTCTCTCTTAAGCTCCAAGGGCCCTTCTTTTGCCTCTGTAATATTTCCTGAGCTCATTTCTTCCACAGCTCTGATTCTAGCTCTGTGACTTTCTAAATAAACTCTCTCTTATGGTTTGAGTCTTAGATCTGAATTCTTTCTTGGCCAGAACTCAAGTACCGAGGTTGCTGAATCAAGGTCTGGTCTGACTCTACCAGTCTAACACCTGGTGTCATTATGACCACCAACAGCCGGAGAAAATGATACTAATTGGATTTTTGCTATCTTGCTGAGTAGGGGGATGTTTACCCTCTGGTTGGGGAGAAGTGTAAACCACTTATTCCAAATATTCCTGGTTGTGGAAGATAGAATTTTGTGATTTACTGGATGGCTGTAAACTGCATAGCCGTTTAACTATCTGTCTCAGTTTCCCTAATCCCCCTGTCCTGGCTTACTAGCCTGTCTCAGTCTGGGCACTGGAGAATGTGCCCAGGGAAGAGGCCACACCAGCATAAAAGTGAACTTGAGGGAATTATGGGGTCTGAAGTGTGGAGAAAGAAGTTAGTCTTAAGTGCTTGTGTCTCCATCACCCTGCAGATTCTTCATCCATTGATGTCAAAGCCAGGCCAGGACCAAAGGGAGCCTTTTAAAGCACAGGACTCAGGTCAGGGAGCCTTCTCTCCCAGGCCTGAGAGCAATTATTGCACAGAAGTCTTTCCAGCTGTCAGGGTTTCCTGATGACTTTGGTGTCAACGTTCCTACCTACCTGGACAGGCTCCTAAAATTTCAATCACTCAGGCAGAGTACTGATACCTACAATTTACTGGGACTGAGCTTCACAGCAAAGGAATGAAAGTGATAGGGGAGGACTTATAGAGCACCTGAATTAATCTGAAAATTAACCC